ATGGTGATGGAAAAATTGGACAACTACATGCAAAAAAATTAAACTAGACCACCAACCTACACCATACACAACTAAAATCTCAAAATGGATAAAAGACTTAAATGTCACCCATGAAACCATAAAAATCCTAGAAAATGTAGGCAACAAAATCTCAGACATCACACACAGCAGAATTCTCACTGAATAAGTCAATCAGAGAAAGAAAAATATCACATGATCTCACTTATTTGTGAACAAAATAAGCTGATGAACAAAATAGAGTCACAGACATGGAAAGGAAAGGAGTACGGTTCAAACTGACAAACTTAGGAGGAGGCAGATGGGGAGGGGGGGTAAAAAACCAAAAAACTTATATGCATATAAGCATAACCCAACGGACATAGGCAACAATGCTGTGAGTGGGGTACAGAACTGGGAGGAGGGTGCCTGGGGGGGGGGAAGGAGAAACATCTGTAACAAAAATATTAATTAATTTTTTAAAAAGGGAGCCCTGTCCGGTTTGGCTCAGCAGTTAGAGTGAAGGCCTGTATACCAAAGAGTCATGGGTTCAATTCTGTTCAAGGGCACGTACCTCAGTTGTGGTTTGGTCCCCAGCCCTGGTCGGAGGTCATGCAAGAGGCGACCAGTTGATGTGTCTCTCTCCCACTGATGTTTCTCTCTCTCTCTCCCTCTCCCCCTCTCCCTTCCACTCACTCTATCTGAGGATAAATGGAAAAAAAAATCCTCGGGTGAGTATTAAAAAATATATATGTATATACACACACATACAATATATTCTATGTCAATTATACCTCAATAAAGCTACTGAAAGGAAGAGAGGAAGGAAGAGGGGAGGAAGAAAGACTGAATGACTGACTTAGGAAATTATTTAACCTTTTTGGGCCCCCATTTTAACACAAAAAAGGATAAATAACTTATCAGTTTTGATAGTTAAATGAGATAATGTATACAAAATCCTTAGTACATAGTATATGTGTGTGTGTCTGTTTCCTTCCTTTCTTTCTCATTCACTGTTTCTCATTCACTCTTTCAAGAAATATGAGTATCTAGTCCCAGACCAGCAGAGGCAGCAGTGGGAGTAGCTGCAGCCTGCGCCCTCTCCTGCCTGGCCAGTAGCCTGCCCTCGCAGCCCTCTACCCGCCCCTGCCCCCAGGGTCTCTTTCCCTCTTCCTCCTTCACCTCCTCCCTTCCTCTTCCTCCTGCCTGGGGGGGGGGGGGGTCTAGCCTTTCAGCCTGCCCCTATTGTTGTGGTTCGTCCCCCCTCTCCCCCCGCCTCCTGCCCTTCCCTTTTCTGCTCCCCCTGCCCCCTTCCCTTTTTCCCCTCAGTTGTCTCATGCCTACAGTTTCTAGCTTTCACCTCCCCCACCACCAGGGACCAAAAACTTGACTACTCAAAGTCCAGCTCCCCAGAACACTGCTCAACATGGACATCAGTGTGATTGAAGGTGGATTAAATGCCACTCTCACCATCTGGCTACTTATGCATGGAAAGGAAGTTGGCGGTATCATTGGAAAAAAAGGAGAATCAGTTAAGAAGATGTGGAAGGAGAGTGGTGCACGTTATCAACATCTGAGAAGGGATTGTCCTGAGAGAATTATCACTTTGGCTGGACCCACTAATGCCATCTTCACAGCCTTTGCTATGATCATTGACAAACTAGAAGAGGATATCGGCAGCTCTATAACCAATAGCACAGCTGCCAGTAGAACCCCAGTCACCCTGAGGCTGGTGGTCCCTGCTAGTCAGTATGGCTCTCTCATTGGGAAAGGTGGTTACAAGATCAAGGAAATAGGAGAGAGTACAAGGGCTCATGTCCAGGTGGCAGGGGATATGTTCCGGCCCAAGCCATCCAGTTCTCTGGTCATCTTTCCGGTGGTCAGGACAGGTACAGCACAGGCAGCAACAATGCGAGCTTTCCTCACACCAACCCATCCATGTGCCTCAACCCTGACCTGGAGGGACCACCTCTAGAGGTCTATATCATTCAAAGACAGTATGCCATTCCACAGCCAAATTTGACCAAGCTACACCAGTTGGCAATGCAACAGTCTCATTTTCCCATGACCCATGGCAACACTGCATTCAGTGGCATTGAATCCAGCTCTCCAGAGGTGAAAAGCTATTAGGGTTTGTATGCATCTGCTCAGACTACTTCTCATGAACTCACCATTCCAAATGATTTGATAGGCTGCATAATCGGGCGTCAAGGCGCCAAAATCAATGAGATCCGTCAGATGTCTGGGGCGCAGATCAAAATTGTGAACCCAGTGGAAGGATCTATTGATAGACAGGTTACCATCACTGGATCTGCTGTCAGCATTAGCCAGAGTTCAAAACACTGGCTAGAGGATGCTCAATGAACTTAGAGCTTCAACAGCATAAAGAAGGACCAGTAAGAAATGAAGGATAAACTAACTGAAATGAAGAGTAATTTACAGGGAATTAACAGTCGAGAAATTAAGCCAAGAATCAAATCAGCAATTTGTAATATAAGGAAGCAAAAACCACCCAATCAGAACAGGGAAAAAAAAAAAAAAAGAATCCAAAAAAATGAGGATAGTGTAGGAAACCTTTGGACCAACTTCAAGCGTACCAATATTCGCATCATGAGGTGCCAGAAGGAAAAGAGAGAGAGCACGAAATTGAAACCTCTTTTTAAAAAAATAATGACAGAAAACTTCCATAGCCTGGTGAAGGAAATAGACATACAAGTCCAGGAAGCAAGAGAGTCCAAAACAAGATGAACCCAAAGAGGCCCACACCAAGATACATCATAATTTAAATGCAAAAGGTTAAAGACAAAGAGAGAATCTTAAAAGCAGCCAAGAGAAAAGCAGCTAGTTACCTACAAAGGAGCTCCCACAAGACTGGCAGCTGGGCCCAGCCAGTGTGGCTCAGTGGTTGAGCACTGACCCATGCACCAAGAGGTGGCCAATTCAGTTCCCGGTCAGGACACATGCCCAAGTTGTGCGCCAAATCCCCAGTGCAGGGCATGCTGGAAGCAGCTAATCGATGTTCTCTCTCATTGATGTTTCTCTCTCTCTCCCTCTCCCTTCCTCTCTCTCTAAAAATCAATAAAGGAAAAAAAAAAAAAGATTGGCAGCTGATTTCTCAACACAAACTTTGTAGGCCAGAGGGAGTGGCACAAAATGCTCAAAGTGATGAAAAGCAAGAACCTACAATCAAGATTATTCTACCCAGCAAAGCTATCATTTAGAATCAAAGAACAGATAAACAGCTTCTCAGACAAGGAAGAAAACTAAAGAGTTCATCACTATCAAACCAGTATCATATAAAATGTTGAAGGGTCTTCTTTAAGAAGAAAAAAAAAGATAAATAATATAAACAATAAAATAGCAATAAATACACATCAACAATTGACTCTAAAAAAAAAAAAAAAGCGGAACAGAAACAGACTCATAGATACAGAGAACATTTTGATGGCTGTCAGATGAAAGAGGGGTTGAGGGGATGGATTGTTACAGAATAATCATGGGGATGTACAGTACAGCACAGCGTATATAGACAATATTATAATAATTATGTATGGGTGTGAGATTTATTGGGATGGTACTTTGTAAGTTATATAATGTCTAATGTCTAATCACTGGGGTGTTCTTCTGAAATTAGTATAATAATGTACGTCAACTGTAATTGAAAAATAAAAATTATTGTTCTAAAAATCTTTACTGAAGGCCTACTAAAGGGACAAGCACTCTCCCAAGTGCAGGAAATGGAGTAATAAGCAAAAATGACACACACAAAAATCCCTGCTCTTATGAGGTTTATACTCTAAGACAGACAAATAAATAAATACAATGTCAGTTATATCAGATGGTTTAAGTTTTATGAAGAAAAATAAAGCAGGGAAGAGGGAGCAGAAGAAGGGATAGTCTCACTGCTCAAAGAATTATAAAGGGGTTAGAATCTAGGCAAAAAGATGGCCCATGAGTCCTGGACTTCTTATGGTTACTGACATAAACAGGGTAAAAGGCATAATGACAACTGCCTTGATAGTCTCAAGGTAGTTAGTTGTAGTGATGCAAGTGATGGGGAAGAAGGCAGGCTAAGGGACATGCCAGAAATGCAGATTTCTGGGTCCTCTCCTCTACACCTGTCAATGATGACATAGAAACCAGAGAGGGATAGCTTTATCCATAGTACTTAGAGCTTTTGGACTCCCTCCTAGCTCCAGTATAGAGGTGGAAGCCATAATAGGATTGGTGTTACATAAATAGTTTATTCTCCGATTCCTACCAGTCAATTAACTCTACAAAGGCAGAAGTTGTATCTTTACCACTATATTCCCAGAATTCAGACGAGTGCCTGACACACAGCAGACACTGGATATATATTGTTGAAAGAATAAAGAATGAAGTATCTGAAGGCAATATATCCCTATATTATCAAGGTGAATATTTTAAATGTATTCATATAAAAGTCATCAAGTGGGGCCAGCCACAAACAACTTTAATCAAAGCACATTATAATGATTTTTAATCGTTTCTAAATTAACTATTATATTATAAAGTCTTAAAGACAATCACATTTTATAAACTTGCAGAATTTAAAAATACATACTCAGAACTTTTTTAAAATAAAAGTTGTAATAATACATAATTAAACTACAAGTTCAAAAAATTTAATCTTTTCAAGTTATTTTAGTATGTTTTGTTTACTGACATGTTTATTTAAAGAAATGGTAATATTTTATCCTTCAAAGTTCCTCAATTTTTCTATTATATCACCTTGCCAGCACATTTAATGAAAAATATGTAGATAATATTTTCAAACAGTGATATGTAAACCAGTTTAACAATGCCACTTGGAGCCACTATTTAGTCCTCAGTGTATAGATCACAGAAAACCACTACTTTAAAGTATAACTATGGTATACTTTTAACAACTGTACTTGATTACTTTACAATCAAAATTTTCTCATTTATATTCTAAAATTTAACTTGTAATAAATTATTAAATGACATTTAAAAATACATACCTTTCTCTTACAAAATCTGCTAGTTCTTTTGTCGATATCTGTCCATGTTTCATATTATGGTAAAGGACATCAAAGCCACTATTTTTTTCCCCCTACAATTTAAAAAGATTTTTAGTTTAACAAAACAAAAAAAGAGAGAGATCAAAATGACTTAATAACATTAACTAATATGCAGTTCTAACTATCAGGTAAGCTATCTTTCCTAAATTTAACCATTGTTACTCATTGTAAGACTTCAAACTGTATCAAAGGACTACTGTAAGGTTTCATAAAGTTTATAACTTATTATATATACACATATGCATACTCTATAATCACTCAAAATGGTATATTAATGAAACTAAGTCTAAAATATTAAGGAATAATATGCAGCATAATTTTAAAAAGATAAATATAGACCTCTTTAAATTCATTACCAAGTACCAAAATTCAATTCCTTAAACAGGCTTTAAGGGATTCCTAATTATTTAACTGAGTGATTTTCAACCAGTGTGCCATGGCACACCGATGTGCCACAAGAATTTTTAAAACATGCAATACCCGACTATTTAGCCAGGGGCACTACCCTCTTTGGATTGTCAAATAAAAAAATAACAACAGCCAACACAACAAAAGTCATCCAATGTGTCTGGCTGGAGTGGCTCAGTGGTTGAGTGTCGAACATACACCAAGAGGTCTCCAGTTTGATTTCCGGACAGGGCACATGCCCAGGTTGCAGGCTTGATACCTGGTAGGGGGCATGCAGGAGGCAGAGGATTGGTGTTTCTCTCTCATCAATGTTTCTCTCTCTCTCCTTCTCCCTTCCTCTTTCTCTAAAATAAAAATTTTAAAAATCAATTAAAACATTTTTAAAAAGCCGTCCAGTGTGAATGAATCAAAATTAAACTTATTTTTGGTCAGAATGGCAAAAATATATATTTTTTGGTGTGCCACAAAATTTTAGTTTACGTGTGCCATGAAATGAAAAAGGTTGAAAATTGCTGATTTAATTCAAATTCTGTGCTTTAAAATGACTAAATCTTGCCTTCAGTCAATAAAGCATTATTAATAATCATATAAGCATTGAATACCACAAGATGCTTTATAATTGCTAATATAAATCTTTCAGTAAACTTTAAGCAATTTAAGACATGAGAAAGTAGATAAAACTTTAACAAAAGAGCAATAACAGTCTTTTGGTTAGTCCTCAACTAACAGGAAATTAACAGAACCAGACCACTACACAATCCTACAAAACCTTTACTGTTATTTAATCCAAAAAATGCTGAATTAGCTAGTCATAGCAAAGAAAACATTAGAAAGATCAATGTTTAGAAAGACTCTCAATAAATCAAGCTCAATAACTCTCTTCACAATTTGCAGTTTTATTTCTCTTCAGTGAGAATAAAATAATGAAGAATGAAATATATTTACTGGAAATAAAAAGCAACATCGTAAGCAAGTGTTATGCAATCTGAAACTTAATTTTTCCAAAGTTTGCTGAAAACAGGAAACATAGGAACTTCCAGTTATGTTGAAGTAATCCCTAATAAACTCGTCAGCTAATATACTAAGTAATTAGTTTGCCATAAATACAACAAATTAAAATGTCATATTCATAGGGAGATATATAAATAATATCCTTAACATTCTGAACATCCATTTCCATTTTTCAGGAATTCAAAAAGATGCATGGTCGCTTATGAATCCAAACATATCCATTTGGCTTCTATAATTTTTTCATGTTTAAGATAAAGAAAAATAATTTATTATCTAACTCCAGTTTTTACTTTCCCTGGGTTCTGCATGCAAATTCATTTCAGCCAAAATAGGGATTTTTTTTTAAGTAACCATTATCACTAGTCTATAGCAAGTAAAAATAATATCATGCAGATTAGTAAATAAAAGTACTGACAAATAATGACAGGCCTGAAACCTCTGAGGGATTCATTCCATTTCTTGATATAAAATAGAAATTACAGATGATTAGACGATCCACTAATTTCCACAATATGAATCCTGAAAAAAACAAACCTGAAATCTAAAATTTTTAAATCTAAAGTCTGAAGTGCTTATGCCCCAAAGTTCTCACCTGACAGACCTAATAGTTCTCATTTGCTCATAATTCTAACAAGTCCAGGTACCTGGGTTCCCAATGTGCATTATGCATGGTTAAAGAGAAGACTGGAAAAGAGCTGGAAGTGAATGGCTATTTAAAACCAGCACACAGATGATTAGAAGAAATAATATTCACCAGGCTTACAAGGGAAAAAAACAAAAATTTATTTCAGACAAAAACACGGAGACCATCTTATAATTGGGGCAACAAGGTCCTGAGAATTTTGTGTCACTGTTATAGTACTTTAAACATTAAGCAGTCAAGAAAAGGTTAAATTACATTCAGAAATCTGAATTCTTATTAAGAAATCCTTGCCTTTGCTGCTGTGGCTCAGTTGGTTAGAGCATCGACCCATATACCAAAAGGTCAAGGGTTTGATTCCAGTCAGGGCACCCAGGTTGAGGGTTCAATCAATGTTTCACTCTTACTTTGAGGTTTCTCTCTCCATCTCTTTCCCGTCCTCTCTCTCTAAAATCAATTTTTTTAAAAAGCATGTCCTTGGGTGAGGATTTAAAAAAAAAAAGAAGTCCTTGAAGGAGTAAGCTCTTTATTTGGGATATTCAGATACCCCAACAACATATTACTTAAAATTCCCAATACAGGGAATAAGGTTTACTAATTTGCTTACTATACAATATAACATTAATATAGTATACCTTAGGAAAAGTACTAGCTACTCCATCCTTCAGGTCTTCACTTGGAAAGAAAAGAAAACTTCATCCTAATAAGGATGTGATGCAGAAGAAGCCTGCCTGAAAAGGCACTAATGACTAAATATAAATACTCTGCATGATTACAAATCCATTTGGCATTTCTTCCTATTTGCAATTCATTCATTTACTGAAGTAAAAAAATGTAATGAGTCTGACTCTAGGCACCATTTTCCTTTTTTTTTAAATCCTCACCCAAGGATATTTTTCCATTGATTTTAGATAGAGTGGCAGGGAGGAAGGGAGAGAGAGGGCTAACTAAAAATACACAAATGTACAAATAACATGACAACACACCTTCATTATCAAATAGAATTACGACTGAAGATATCTCTGGTCTTCAATATTTTACAAAGCTGTAAATGTTCATGCCCTTTGACTGAGGAATTCCACTTTTAGAGCTCTGTATCACAAAAACACATGTACAAAAAAAATGTGGAAGAATATTCACTGAGGTGCTGTTCATTATCGTGAAAATCAGAAAATTCAAAAACATCCACTAACTGGTTAAATAAATGACAGTTTACCCTTAATGAAATAGTGTTTTTTAAAAGACTATAGCAAGAAAAAAATTGTAGATTTTAAATATTAATTTTAAAAATCTGCTCAGATATATTGTCAGTGAATAAAAAAGCAAGATACAATTATTCATAATAGCCAAAAATAACCTAATGCTGGGAACAACCTAAATGACCATCAGCTAGTAAATGGACAGACAAAATGAAGTGTATCCATAAAATGTAATACAATTCAGCAATTAAAAAAACAAACATGCTACTTTATGAACCTCATAAACATTTTACTAAGTGAAAGAAGCCAGACACAAGAGTCCACATGTTGTATGATTATATGAAATGTCCAGAATAGTGAAATCCATAGAGAAAGAGGATGGATTAGTGGCTGCCTAGAACTGAGGGTGGAAAAGAACACTAACTGCATATATGAGCATGAGGGATATCTAATTATTGGGAGGATGAAAATACTCTAACACTGATTTATGGTTATGGTTGCACCAATTCGTAAAGTTACTAAAAACCAGTAAGTTGCACACTTAAAATGGGTAGATTTTGTAATAGATAAAATATGCTTCAACAAGGTTGTTTGAAAAGAGAAATAAAAAGAGAAGTTGGGAGATTCCTTTTTTCTCTTGGAGAGTAGTTTTGCTTGGTTTTGTCTTTTTTTAACAAATTGGTTCTTGCTACCTCAATTTCTGAAAGTTGGTCTCTTCCTAATAAGAGCAATAAATTTTTGTTTGACATAATTATAGATTTATAGGAAATTGTTGAAAAATGTACAGGAAGGTTCCACATATAAGCAAGATTTTTACTGTTGTTGTTGTTAGTTGAATGATCAAATCTTATTTATTTAGAAAGGTCAGCTTTCCCTAACAGTTGGATAGGTTGCTATTTGTGTTCATTGGTAACAGATGATTGCAGAATACATAATGAACCATTCTTCTATGGAGGCCTGATACTGTTTTTTAGGTAAAAAAAAAATAATAATACATTGAATTGAATTAAAAAGGAAGGTGCAAATAGTACACCTAGTAGGATTTCATTTTCACTGAAAAAATAACATGTTGCATATACAGGGTGGGGAAAAAGTAGGTTTACAGTTGCAAAACAGTTCAATTTTGTATTATTATTTATTAATTATTGTATTATTTCCCATGTGAACAACTGTTAGGTCTTCTGCCCCACCTTGTATGTACACGAAGAAAATCTAAAGGCATATACAGCAAACTATTAACAGCAAATCATTTCTGGGAAGTGGAATATTGAGCATAGATTAACTTTCTAATAAAAAAATAAATAAGCCACGTCTTCATTATAGAAGAGTTAAGAGCTATCATGACAAGCACTTTTAAAATGCAATTTTCTCCCAAGTATACAACTATTGATATAAAATCTTGTTTATCAATAGCCTTTTTCCCCTTCTGCTCAATTTTTTTAATTAACCTTTTTAAACAAGTTTTATTGAGATATAATTCACACACCATTCAATTCACCCACTTAAAGTGTACACTGTAATAATTTTTAGGATATTTATAGAGTTGTGCAAACATCACCACAATCGTTGTTAGAACATTACTGTCATCCACCAAAAAAAGTAAACAAAACCCATAACCAAATACAGGAATACCTCAGAGATACTGCATGTTTGGTTCCAGACCATCACAATAAAGTGAGTATAACAAAACAGCAAGTCACAAGCTTTATGCTGTTAAACTGGAGATTTGCCTCCAATTTATAAAAAACACAACATCTGTGAAGCACAATAAAGC